TATATATATGGTTGGATAGATGTGAGTTTGTGACCCTGGGTTTCACGCTTTAGTGATCATCAGACAAATATGTTAGCTCTATCTCTGATATTGAGCGCTTTCTAATAAGTACCGCGCATATAATATATAAATAATTATAAATATATATTTATTGATATTAATATACACTTTTCATATATATATATATATATATATATATATATATGTAAGATATAGATAGATAAATAGATTGATAGAAAGGAACAGACTGAGATAGATAAACAGTTAAATATGAACATGCTTATATATATATATATATATATATATATATATATATATATAGAGAGAGAGAGAGAGATAGATAGATAGATAGATAGATAGATAGATAGATAGATATGAACAGGCTGAGGTAGATAGATACATACATACATGCAGACATACATACATAGAGACAGATTAAGATAGATATCAAAAGGTTGGGATAGATATGAACAGATTTAGATAAAATACAAATATTTTAGGTAAATACAAATATACTGATATATATATATATATATATATATATATATATATATATATATATATAGAGAGAGAGAGAGAGAGAGAGAGAGAGAGAGAGAGAGACAAACTGACACGGAAAGCTAGTGAAGAACAAGTCGAGATGAATAGAATGAGATAGATAGATAGATAAATAGATAGATAGATAGAGAGAGAGAGAGAGAGAGAGAGAGAGAGAGAGAGAGAGAGATGAACAAACTGTGACAGAAAGATAGATACGAACAGGTTGAGATAGATATTAACAGAATGAGATAGATAAATAGATAGATAGATAGGGACAGGTTGAGATAGATATGAAATGCTTGAGATAGATAGATATGAAAAGATTGAGATAGATATGAACAGATTTAGATAGGTAGATAAAAATATGCTGAGATAGATAGATAGATAGATAGATAGATAGATAGATAGATAGATAGATATGAACAGATTGATCTAGACCGTATCAATATCGTATAGATATGATCAGTGAGAGGGAAAGAGAGAGAGAGAGAGATTGTGTTTGGAATAGTAATGTTACCTCTTGCCATTCCATTGTCTTGAATTGAGAATAAAATCAAAATATGTTTAATAAGTCGGTAAATATTTAAACATGACAAAATGAAAACTATTTCCAAAAAAAGAAATCAAAATAAAAAAAAAAGACAAAAACCCCGCAACTGACAGAAACAAAAGACAAACATGATTGCCGGTCCTCTACACGACGTTAGTCGCGCTGTGTCTGCTGTGTCGAACGAAATCAATTGAGTGAAGTCAATTGATTTTTCTACCAAACGACAACGTCAACTTATGAATACAAAACAAAGTGTTTTTACTGCATTATATAAACATTGGAAAACAGACTCAGGCGGGAAAAGCTGTGATGAATTATTTGAAAATGTCAAGATACTTTAAAATTAAAAATATCTCTCGCCATACGGATCTTCTTTATTATTTTTACTGGATACTCGTATTTCAGTAGACGCTCTGTTTACTTATTAAAGGGTATATATATTTATTTTCCCCTACCGGCCTGAATATTTGTCAGAAACTTAAAGAAAAATATGCAATCTACGCAAGATTGGACCTGCATCACGTTAGATCCGACATGCTGATACTGAAACGGCCACGAAGAGCATTTGCCGGTCAAGCAGAGCTGAATAATGACTTTAAGGAAAATCCTTCTCGTCATAGACTCTTTCTTTGATGCAATATCCATACAACAAAGACCAATGAACACCATCAAGAAATAAAAATAATTAACTTAAGAGCCCGTATCCTCATATATATATATATATATATATATATATATATTATAAATTAACTGGATTAAAGTATTTTTTTTCGCTACACAGTAAAAACAAGTCTAAAAAATTTAAATTTAATTTTGTAATTAAATGGAACTAATGTTTTTAATTCAATTACAAAATTAAATTTGAAGTTTTTAGCTTCCGTTTTTGAAACATGGTTATTACTGTGTAGCGAAGAAAGCCTATTTTAAACCAGTTAATTTATAATATTTATGCTCTGTAAATTTACATTGCGCACTGTTTTGTAAAAATAAAAAAAAATATCAATAAGAACACCGGATTATATATCTTACTGTTCTTTCTTTACACACACACACGCGCACACACACACACACACACACACACACACACACACACACACACACACACACATATATATATATATATATATATATATATATACAAAGTAAAAAGCCCACTATTTACATTATTTGGACTGTTGCCCTCATCTTTATTGCCATATTTATCACAATGTTTCGGCCGTTGTACGCTCCGGCATTCTTCAGGTGGTTGGAAGTGGCAAAATCAGGCGTGGCTGACCACATGTTGAGTGAGAAAAGGGAGACCACCGCCCTCTGTGGGATCAAGTTGAAATCACAGACAAAGAGCATCATTGGAAAATTCGTAAACTTAAGGAATCAGCACAAAAATCTCCTGAGCCGACCAAGCATAGAAACGAATACAATATGGGAACCAGTAATAAGGAGTGACAGAGAAAAAACAATAATAACAACGAAAATTGCAATATGAGGTCTGGGTAAAACATGCAAATATAAATATGGCAACAAAGAAGGTTAGGGGATAGATCAGGGCATCTGGAGTCGTCGATTGACATTACATTTGAATAGTTGGAGATTATAGCTATCAGGGAAACAGGAAGACGAGAGGAGAGGAGTTCCACGGGCGAGAAGTGCGAGACATGAAGCTATTGGAGTAGAAGAGACGGCTACATTTAACAGTTTCGACAGTGAAAGGGTGAGAGCGAGATGCCAGCCTAGTTGAACGCTTAAATTCATGAAGTTTGGGAACCAGCGATAGCAGCTCATCGGAGCAGTTACCTTGAAAGTATTTGTAAAAAAGACAGAGGGAGGCGACGGGACATCTGTGAGAGAGCGATTGCAGACGAGATGCCAGATCAGGGCCAATTAGATCCTTTCCTCTATCCCTCCTCTTTGCTCTCGCTCCAACTCCCTGTAACCCCTTGCGTGCTTGTGGCTTCCCGCCTTGATTGGGGTGGAATGCTTAAAAAAGAAAGATGAGGACAATAGTCCGAATAATTTAAATAGTTAGTATATATATATATATATATATATATATATATATATAAGTGAACATTGAAGTCAACACTTAGAGGCGACAGGCTGTTTCATGCTAGACGCAATCGTCAGGCTACCAGTGATGTTTTTTTTCTTGGCTATTTATATATACGGGTCCCGAATATATTATATAGTATCTATACATACCCGTATATATAAATATAAAGGAAATGAAGGTTACGTGGATAAAGAAAAAAAGGATGTTGATTAACTCTTGGCACGAAGAAATCTAGATTGGAGCGTCAGAGGAAGCACCCACGCGGGAGCCTATTCCACACAGTGCCATTTCTTGAGAAAAAGCTGTCGAAGTGAAACTTTCTTTTTACATTTGGAACACTTAGGATAGAGGAACTCAAACAGGAGCAATCCCCCACCCCTGGAGGTGATTTCCGGGGCTTCAGAGGGCGGTGGGGAAATCTTTTACTTTTTCACAAGTTTTTCATTTACTGTAATCTTCATCAGAATGAAAATGATTTAAATACCAGGACCTTTTTATTGAATTTTTTTGTTTATTGAAGATTGTTTTTTAGTTTATTTATTTAAAGTTTGTTTAGCGGCACATCAACATCTTTGTGGGTCATTTAATGCCGGAATTTAATTTTCTTGGTAGCATTAGTAATTTCTTTTTAAAAAATTTTGAAAGTAGAGGAAAAAATAAATAAAATGGAATAATGGATTAAGTGATAGAAAAAAAGAAAAAAAGAAAGAAAGAAAAAATAGAAAAAAAAAAAAAGAAAAAGAAAGAAAAAAGAAAGAAAAAAGAAAAAAGAAAAAAAAAAGAAAAAAGAAAAAAAGAAAGAAAAAAGAAAAAGAAAATTTCAAATTTGATCCGGACGTGTGATAATTTATATAAAAAACTAGAAAAATGTAATAATAACAAAATTAAACAATTTGTGAATGTATTGTTGCTGCTTCAGAAAATGTATTTGCTTATCTATTTTACCTCAACAGGAGTAGATAGGTTCGCCTATCGCCCTGTCTACATTCCTCCTCGATCTTTTGAACAGGAGTAGAGGTTTATTCCATGTTTGCTGTTCAGGGTTGGATTTTCTTGTTCCTTCTAAAGTCTACTTCAACTCTATACTTCTAAATCTCCGTCTAAACACTGAAATCTTATTTACTATTTAATTATTTTTTTTATGTATTTTTCGTCAATAGGAGTAGATAGGTTCGCCTGTCGTCCGGTCGACACTGCTCCTCGGCCTATGGAAGAAAATTAGAGGTTTATCCCTTGTTTCCGGTTTAGGATAGGATTTCCGGTTCCTTCCAAAGTCTATTTCAACTCTATACTTCTAACGTCTTCGACTGAGCTCTGAAATTTAATTCATTATTTATTTATTTTTCTGTTTTTCTTCTCTCCAGATAGGACTAGATAGGTTCTCCTCCCTGGTCTTTTGTACAGGAGTAGGGTTTTATCCCTTGTTTCCAGTTTAGGATTGGGTTTCCGGTTCCTTCCAAAGTCTATTTCAACTCTATACTTCTAACGTCTTCGACAGAGCTCTGAAATTTAATTTATTATTTATTTATTTTTTGTTTTTCTTCTCTCCCAATAGAAGTATATAGGTTCTCCTCCTTGATCTTTTGTACAGGAGTAGAGGTTTATCCTCTTGTTTCCTGTTTAGGTTTGGGTTTCCTCTTCCTTCTAAAGTCTTTTTCGTTCTTTCTCACTCCCAGTAGCCATTGAATCTTAGTGGTACTGTTGCCTTACTACGGTTGAATTGATTAAAAAAAACATTCCGTCTTTAGGCCCGTATAAAGCAGGGTCTATATTCTGGGTTCTTCACACAGCGATAGAAAATATTCAGAACGTCAAGGAGTGCAGAATAAACGGTGATTGGTGGGAGAGTCGATATGTGGGATGAGGGTAGAAGAAGCCAAGGCTAGAATTCATGACTGTAGGCGGGTCACCTTAAGGAAATAAAAAAAAAAAAAAAAACGTAAATAAAACCAGAAATAGAACATTAATGCGTGCGGTCTGGGCAATATCTTCTTAATAGCGACATTAACAATAACAGACATCATAACGCGAACAGAGAGGAAAGGCGAAATAGAAAGGGGGTGAGAGCTAGTGTTGGACAGACAAGGCGGTTTATAGAGAGTGTGTATGTGTGAGAATTAAAGCGAATGTAGATGGGAAAGGTATACAGAGAAGTTGACAAACATTATTTTGTACGAAGTGACACGAAGTACGGCTTTTTTTTCTCCCCCTTTTTTGTCAACCCACCTTTTGTAACGTAACGCGAGCAGCCGTGTTTTGATCAACCCTTGTACTTTAACCGAAATACCAGGAATTAAATGTCTCGTACACAAATCGCCTTTTTAAAGACCAAATCGTTTTTATTTATTTATTTATTTATTCTTTAATAAATAACATCGACTTAAATCATCATTCGACTCACAATTTCTTACGCCTTCGGAAATAACGGGTACTCGGCTCGCTAGGTGATTGGCACTGTTGCGAGTCGACCGTCATATTACTTTATTTTCACAGCTCCCGGGCGAGGTCCTAACACATATATTGTCATTCACTTCCGACTTCCTTCTGTGGTCTTTGAGCGGGGAATAAAATCCACCAGCTTACAGATTTTACTTGAATTCTGTCATAAATTATATGAATCCGAAAGACTAAAAAATATTTTTTTTTGGTTTAGTATATTCTTTCTTTCTTTCGTTCTTTCTTTCTTTCTTTCTTTCTTTCTTTCTTTCTTTCTTTCACTTAATCCATAATTCCTTTCTTTTTCTTTTTTCTTTTACATTATCTCATATTTCTTTCTTTTTTTCTTTCTTTCTTTTATTCCAAATTTCTTTCTTTTTTCTTTCTTTTATTTACTTTTTCCATAGTTTCTTTCTTTCTTTCACTTAAATCCATATTGCCTTTCTCTTTCTTTTTTCTTCTATTTTATCTCATATTTCTTTTTTCTTAGTTCTTTCTTTCTTTTTTCTTTCTTTCTTTCTTTCTGTCTTTCTTTTTCTTTTTTCTTTCGTTCTTTCTTGCCTTCTTTTTCTTTCTTTCTTTCTTTCTTTTATTCCATATTTTCTTTCTTTCGTTTACTTTTTACATACTTCTTTCTTTCTTTCTTTCTTTCTTTTTCTTTTTTCTTTCGTTTTTTCTTGCCTTCTTTTTCTTTCTTTCTTTCTTTCTTTCTTTCTTTCTTTTATTCCATATTTTCTTTCTTTTTCTTTCTTTCGTTTACTTTTTCCATACTTCTTTCTTTCTTTCTTTCTTTCTTTGTTTCTTTCACTTAATCCATAATTCCTTTCCTTTTATTTTCCCCCCTCTACTTCATCTCATATTCATTTCGTTCTTCCCTTCTTTCTTTTAAGCATAAACACCAGGACAGATATTCGACAAACGGAATCAGAATTAAAATTGATGCTTCTTCCATTTAACTCATCCGATGACGTCCTGAAAACTTCACGACGCAGACAATCTAATCACAAAGAGGGCGTTCTCTTACTTGATATCCTTTCTTCTTGTGAGTGCAGAGAAATATTCCTGAATGCAATCTGGCCATTTAAGAAAATTGGCTGTACAGTAACATGCTGTCTTATTCCATTTAAAAATATTCACTTTTGGCATTACACTTTGCACTGCCTGTAAAGTACTCTTTCATGATTGCTATACCCTTGCTTGTTACGCTCTCCTTAATCTCGTCTACGGCTTTAAATCTCTCATTCCTTGGCGATTTGAAATTTGCAAAAAGTCGAGAGTTGTGGGAACGAAATTTGAACAGAACTAGGTGTTACGGTGTTTACATATATATATATATATATATATATATATATATATATATATATATATATATATAAGCTGCGATGGATTTGTCGTCTAAATTAAACAAAAATGAAAAAATAACGCTGACATCTAATTTTAATAAATATATTACCAAAATTACACAAAAAATGTCTTAAAATACTACAGAGTAAATTTAAAAAAATAAAATCTACATTGGCTTCAACCACGTCCTCCAATCGATTTCGTAATCTCCTGCAACTTTTCTGGACAGTCTCCTTGCTTAAGATGCCATAATCCTTGTCTTCTGTTCAACTTTAGTGTTACAATGAGTTTTGTTGGTCTCTCGCTAAAGTGTGGCACTTATTTCAAAATTAATTTCCGTTATTCTCAAATTATAAAAATTGTTATCGTATAAAAAATTCATCGCAAAAAAAAAAAAAAAAAAAAAATCATATAAAAACTCGCCGAAAACAATCGCAGTAATGAAAACTTCTGAATCAAAAAATTTCAGGATCACGGATCTGGATCCGTCCTTGAATGTTTTTTAATTTGCTCACGGAGTCGGCCTGATTAAAAAAAATGGTGTGATAGGTTGAGCCACGGCCCTAGGAGTAAAGATGAAAAAATGTGACACACTGACAAACTGTCACACTAACATAAGCATTTATTTATATAGAAGAAGATGAGATATTTAAAAGTTAGAGAGTTGTGTCCCTTTAATTGAAAAAAGTGTGACAGTGACACAGACATTCGCATTTATTCTTCAGATAAAGAGGATTATATAATTAAAACTTGGAGAGCTGTATCTCTTTAATTGAAAAAGTGTGAGATAAAGACATCTTCGCATTTATTATATAGAAGATAAAGCTATTGAAAGTTAGAGAGTTGTATCCCTTTAATTGAGAAAGCGTGACACAGACATTTTCGTGCTTATGATATAGAGAAAAGAGATATTGAAAGTTAGAGAATTGAGTACCTTTAATTGACAAAATGTGACACTGACAGACATTTTAGCATTTATCATATATATATATATATATATATATATATATATATATATATATACACAAACAAAAAGGCTAGCTACTCTCGTTTTTGGAGTACACCCGTCTGCTCAGGAAAATTTGTGTTGAGCCCACTTCTAGTTTATGATGCGACCATACAGGGTAGACTTTAGTGACCTTTGTTTCCTCCACTACTTGGTATATTTTAAAATCCGTTGTTGAAAATAATTTTTCTTTTCAACCATTTCGTCTTATTTGCCGAAGTTACTATTTTTTTCCTGAAAAGGTGTCGGCCGAAAGGTAGCTAAATTTTAATCGGTGCAAAACTTTTGTATCCTTTTTATGAATAAATTGGGATCCCACTTTTAAAGATCATTATATAACATGTATATATATATATATATATATATATATATATGTGTGTGTGTGTGTGTGTGTGTGTGTGTGTGTGTGTGTGTGTATATATAAATATAAATAAATATATATATGTATAATTATTTATATATTATATGCGCGGTACTTATTAGAAAGCGCTCAATATCAGAGATAGAGCTAACATATTTGGTTGGACTGAGGTGAGTTTGTGACCCTGGATTTCACGCTTTTGCGATCGTCAGACAAACTGATTAATTTTTTTAAATTTTGGGCTTATGTAGATTGCATGTATTGGTGTTATTGTGGAAGTGGTGGGGGAAACTTCGTCGTTTCGTCATTCATCGTACTAACGCAAACATCGATGTATGCAGACACATATACATACTTGGTCGTCCGTCGGGACTCATACATATATAAACATATGTGGGCAGTTTCGGATATGACATATGTATGTATATGGGTGGTGTTGTGTCTATACATACGCATTTGTATGTTGAAATTCAAAGATTGGGAGTGTAGCGAAGATTTCTCGTGAATGTCTCGTGAATGTATACATGTCATATTTTTATTTTTCCAGTGAATAAATTTCTTCGCATGTATGTATATACGTGTGGTGGGTTTTGTGTAGAATTATGATAGGTAAAAATTATCATTATTTATATTTATTTTTAAATTTTTGAAAAAAAAGGGGGGGTTATTTGTTATATTTAAAGCTGGTTATTTGTTTGTTTTTGATGATTGTGTATATGTAACAGGTAGAAATTTGTAATCCATATTGGTTATTTTATATGGTGATGTTTAATATTTAATGTGCTGGGTGAGAGGGTAGTTTAATTTAATAATTATAGCGGGTCGATATCATATGATGTGATAGTAATGTTGAAAGGGATTGGAGACAATGATAATATAATTAGTTAATAGTTATTGTAAATTGGTAGAAGTGATTAGTAACGGTGGTGGGAGAATGATAAAACCATAAATGTAGTTATAGTGGTGGTAAACTGAAAAATTGAACTAAAAAGTGGATGTTGGTGTTTTATTTTATTTTGTTATATGTATTAATTTATTTTGGTATAAATCCTGATAATAGGTATTCTGTGTAAAATTATGGTAGTTGAAGATTGCTATAATTTTTAATTTTTAATTTACAAAAATATTATTGTTATTATATTAAAGCTGGTTATTTCCTTGTTTTTTTTTTTATGACTGTGTATATGTGACTGGTAGAAATTTCAGTTTGTAATCCTTATTGGTTATTTTTATGGTGGTATTAAATATGCTGGGGGAGGGGGTAGTTTACGTTAATAATTATGGCAGGATTATATGGTAATGGTAGATGTGATGTGATAGTAATGTGTAAGGGGGTTGGTGGCAATGATAATATAAGTGGTTAATATTTATTGTAAATTGTTAGTAGTGATTAGTAATGTTGGTGGGAGAATAATAAAAACCTATAAATATAATTATTGTGGTGCTAGCTTGAACTAAAGAGTGGTTTTGGTGTTTTATTTTATTTTATTTTCTCTATTTATTTGTTTATTTTTATTTATTATGAATCCTGGTAATGGGTGTTTATTCTCATGGTTATATATGGAAATTATATCATCATATTGTTTTAAGGTATTAAGTATGCTGGGGGAGTAATATACGTTAATGATTGTAGTGGATTTATATGTTAATAGTAGGTGTGATGTGTAAGTGATGGTGCTGGGTGTTGGTGGTAATGATAATATTATTAGTTAATAGTTATTGTAAAGTGGTAAAAGTGATTACTAATGATGGTGCAATGATAATAACGATAGATGCAATTATTGTGATGGTATCTTGAAATTAAATTGTGATTGTTGGTGGTTTGTCTATTTTATCCGTTTGGTATGAATTCGGATAATAGGTACTTGTTCTCATGCCTACATTTGGAGATTATCTCTGATTTTTTGTTTAGTAAATTCTTTTGCGGTTTGTGTGATATTATTGCTACTTTTTCGTGTAGGCATTTTTTTGTAATGTTGCTGTAGGCAGGGGCTTTTTTCAATATTTCCCAACTTATTGTTGGTGTGATATTTTTGTCTTTTTGCTGCCATATGTATGTAGAAAGTGTTGTGCTGTTCGAATATTTCCTGTTGTTGAATGAAAGGTTGTGATTGTTATTCCTCATCTTGAATGGACCTTCGGTGACACCGATGTAGTGCATTATGTTGTTGTTTGCACTTACCTTGGCCTTTGTATATTGTGTTCGTAAGTTGGCAATTTCCCTGGAGTGGACATGTTGTTCTGTTTCTGCAGTTGCATATTGGATCCTTGGTTTCATTTTTGTAGGTTGTCATTTTTTTGTTGTGGCTTTTGATTATTTCTGTTATGTTTTTTGTGCAGCTGTAAGTGATTGTTACGTTATTTTTGTTAAATATTTTTGATAATTTGTGAAGTGTTTTTCTCGTCTTCCGTAGCGTGTCTAGCAAGCCAGTTAACCTGATAACATTTACGAGCGTTCTTATATTTAAAATTTTTCAAAAACCAGTAACAATTTTGCTCTTGTATATAAATACTTGTTACAAAATAAATTCCTTGCAGGGAACAGGTTAAAATCGTTTCTTGTCTTCTCAAATGAGCAATGGTGAGAGGAAAAAGAACATTCAGGCCTTCAGTAATGGTACCAACATTCATCCTCTGACATCCGAGAAGGCTGAATAAGTTTAAAAAAGCGGGAACAGTAGAGACGAAAACTGAATCATGGGATCACAAGAGAAAGAGGGATCACATTTGAACTTAGCGCTAAAAAGATCAATTAGAAAAGATCCAACTCGATCCATAAGAGAGGAGTTTCAGCTATGACTGTCCAAAGAGCAGTGAAAAAGACTTGAAAATGAAATCGTATGTGAAAAGTGCGATGCTACCTGCTACTCCAGGATAGAAAGCTAAAAGGTTAAAGAGGGCGAAGATCATCTTGAATTAGCTGGAAATTCTCTCTCTCTCTCTCTCTCTCTCAATATATATATATATATATATATATATATATATATATATATATATATATATGTGGAATTAATTTCAATCTTTCATGAGCTTTAGATCCTTAGTTATGATTAATTAATGATTAACATGTCATTTTCGTTTATGATCGATTTCATCACGATTCTTCTG